TTTATATACAGTTAAAAGTCGTTAATCCGGACTCGTCAGGACTTCGGCGATTCCGGATTATAGATCATCAGTTTTAAATCTGGTAAAATATCTCATGCAGAAATTATAAAATTAAAAATATGAAACCGTAATTTACGAAATAAAGAAAAATTATGATCTAAAGGGTATCAAAATTTTAAAAAAAAAAAAAAAAAAAAAAAAAAAACAAAAAAAAAAAAAAAAAAAAAAAAAAAAAAAAAAAAAAAAAAAGCAAAAAAAAAAAAAAAAAAAAAAAAAAAAAAAAAAAAAAAAAAAAAAAAAAATAAAAAAAAAAAAAAAAAACAAAAAAAAAAAAAAAAAAAAAAAAAAAAAAAAAAAAAAAAAAAAAAAAAAAAAAAAAAAAAACAAAAAAAAAAAAATAAACAAAAAAAAAATAAAAAAAAAAAAAACTAAAAAAAAAAAAAAAAAAAAAAAAAAAAAAAAAAAAAAAAAAAAAAAAAAAAAAAAAAAAAAAAAAAAAAAAAAAAAAAAAAAAAAAACAAAAAAAAAAAAAAAAAAAAAAAAAAAAAAAAAAAAAAAAAAAAAAAAAAATTTTATTTTATTTGTTTACTTTATTAAACATTTCTTTCAATGTAAGTTGTTTCGTTTTTTATGTGATAATACATTCTCTTTAATTCTATAAACAGACATAATTTCTTGTTCAGTTACAAAGTTCCGCTCTTCAAGTCCTATAATTGCTGTGTCGAGAATACCGACTAATTTGTCAATGGAAATTTTTTCGTTTTCAATAACCTCTGTCACTTTCTTCGCTATCCGAAGCAAATTATAATGACGAGGCATTTGATTTAAATCATATCAAAGACCGAGTACTACATTTAGTAAGCAATTATAAGCCAAATAAAATAAAAACATCTGCTCTTAAGATAAGGATAGTGCTGACAGATCAACTTCCAATTCATTGCGCCGCCACAGCGTTAAAGATAAACAAAATTTAGATAGATAAACAAACGTTAAAGTTTAGATAAACAAAGGTGTTAACCTTTATCCATTTTTTGCAGCAATTCCACTTTTGTTTAATGGACTCCGAAAGATACTTTCGCTTTGTATATCCTTTACATATTAGTAAATATATATCGGAAATTCTATTTGACATAATCGAAAGTTCAAGCTTACTTTTATAAAATTGCTCTAACAGTCTTCAAAAAATAATAAGCCGGATCCAATTCGAAGATTAAGGAACAACGCAATCTGCAACATTCACTGAAATAGATAATTAGATAATTTTAGCTTAGCTTATCCCGTCCGTTATACATTAAACGCGCATTACTAAACGTATTTTGCGCACGCGCACACGCAAATTCGCAGCTGTAAAGGTCTTACGCGAATGCGTCAACCCGACGCATGCGCAGAAAGTTTGCTTTGGGGTCCGGATTATAGATCATTCCAGATTATGGGTGACCGAATTAACGACTTTTGACTGTATATATATTTGTGGTTCTCATCCCCCTCTCTACACAGATTTATATATGAAACTCCTACCTAAAGATCTGCCAGGATTATGAAATCATATTCAGACAAGCATCAACAGGAACTTGCTGCAATAGACACGACAAGAAAAATTACTATTGTATGTCACATAACAGATGATCTACATAAAAAAATTTATAAATACCTTTCATGTAAGTAAAACACTGTTATACCTACTGTCCATAGATATGTTATTGGTCTCTCTTCATAAATTGTTATTCCATGGTAAATGGGAAAAATATTTTCACTTTTTAAAAATAAGTAAGTTGTATTTTATTTAAAATAACAAGTGAACTTTTAGATTCTCATAATGGAGAAAAGCAGTAATGAAACACTCATAATAGCATATATAGTTTAATTATTTTGTTCAGCGAAGTGTAATGATCAACTACAAAGGATGTTTTTACACATTTTTTAAATGATTTTGATTTTCTCCATGAATTTAAATATTAATTTTAAAACACAAGCATGACTATCATCAAACTGGAATAAGGTTTAATTATCATCTGCAGCATTAAAAATATTATTTTCTTTAAAATGTCGCTGAAAAATAAACAGTGGATCAAAGGCTACATTTTTGCACTGTCCGAAGAGAAATACTCTTATTCAAATATCAAAAGAAGGCATGAAAAACATGGTTTTATTATTTCTACATGAAAGATGAGTGAAATAATTAATATGAAAAAAACATCAAACTTTACATCTGACTGGGAAAATGCAAAAAATGTATAACCAACAAAGCTACATACAGCTCTTATTAAATCTAAGGTTACATCTTCATGTTTTAAAAGAAAATCCAGAGTTAATGAAAAATTTTTAAATATCTCTGTAGGAACTGTTAACAAAAGTCTAAAACCTAATTTACAGCTAAAAAAAAAAAAAAAAAAAAAAAGTTCATCGCCTAACACCAAAACATGTTTCTCAGCATAAAGACTATATACAGATTACTGTATGAAAATTATTTGGTAGGTGAAAAATAGAAATACAGTACAAAGTCTGAAATCCGGACTCGTCAGGATTTCAGCAATTCCGGACTGGTAAGATGGCATGCAGAAATTATACAATTAGAATTATGAAATCGTAATTTATGAAATAAAGAGCAATTATGATTTAAAGGGTATCAAAATTTACAAAAAAAGCTCAATATTTGTTTGTTTACTTCATTAAACATTTCTTTCAATGTGAGTTCTTTTAGTTGCTTCATTTTTTGTGCTAATACTTTCTCTTTAATTTTATAAACAGACTTAATTTCTTGTTCAGTTACAAAGTTTCACTGTTCAAGTCCTGTAATTGCTGTGTCGAGAATACTGACTAACTTGTCAATCAAAATTTTTCGTTTTCAACAACCTCTTTGTCACTTCCTTCCCTCTGATTAACAGCATTTTCTGAATCTAGAACCATAGTACACATTTCACCATCTGTTAATTGATTGATGATTGGGGCATTGTCATTGCAATGAAAAACTTCTGTTATATCATCTTCATTTATTACCGCTTCTCCACATTTCTTTACAAAATCCAATAACTGGAAAATTTCACCTTTAGTTTGCGATATCCGAAAACTTTCTAATTCGCGGCTATCATCTTCATCGTTCTCACCGTGAAATATGGTAGCAAGCCATAAATTATGCCAAGCATTTTCTAACGTATCTGGAGACACATCCTCCCATGATCTTGCGATGCTCCACCCAGCAGATTTTATGCTAAAATATTTCAAAAATTCGTGAATAGCCTTGCCATTATTCAAGAAATTTAACATGGATTTTAAAAATGCTACTATGCATTTCAGCGTGCGCACTATTCTGATAACCATAGGCTGAATCACAGATGTACAATTTGAAGGGAAGAATAATATGGATAAATTATCTTTGAATAAAACTTTAAGTGAAGCATGAGCCGAACTGTTGTCTAGAATCAAGACTATTTTTGAGTCATTGGGTAAACCAACCGAATTCAAAAATGTTTGTGTCATCCATGCTCTTTTATTTGCATGATATATAACGGGGAAAATCTTTACTCCTTTAAATGCTCAAGATTGTTTATGTTTTCTGATTACGAAAGGTTTGCACTGTAAAAACTTCTCATCTCTTAATTTTGCCGCTTGGTGCTTCCAAATTCCAAAAATTTTGTTTTTCCTAAATTCTGCCGTCGCTTCTGGGTTTATGCTGAAATAACATATCCGTTATTCTTACTTAAAATAGCACTAAATGTAATCTTTTGGCCTATGAAATTCATTAACAAAATCAATTTTTAGCATATCAAAAGAAATTTTTGTTGAATTTTTCCTCGTCAGCTTTTAAAAATCTATAATCATCGCCAAACGTAATGTTAGCATAAAAAGTTGCCATACTCTTGTTTTTCAATTACCAATATAAAAAAAAGTTTAGACATAATTGCATGAGTTATTACTGAAGCTGTCATGCATTGATAAACAAGGGGTGATGAAAGCAAAATATAATAAAAATGGCTCATCAGGAATATAAAATACGTTTATGTTTCGTGTATGCCAATCTCGCAAATTTATACTTACATTATTGTTTTTTTCATAATGAGGTATTTTATTTAGTGCCTAAATGAAATTAAGAATCGGAAGTTTTAAGTGAAAACCTCCACATGTTTTATTATGGAAGGAAAAATCAAACACGCATGCATAAAGCATACAAAAAAAAAAAAAAAAAAAAAAAAAAAAAAAAAAAAAAGTTTGTGGCTTTGGGGTCCGGATTTTGTACTGTATATAGTTTTACAATTGATCAGGCTTGAATATACTTCTGTTTGCAATAGAAAAAGATCGATTTACTACCAGAAAAAGAGAAGAAAAAGACTTAATATGTTGGTTCAGAGAAAACAAGGAAAAGTTTTTCTAAAGGTTTTGTGATTGCTGGATTCTCTTATAACAGAAAACTTAAAATAAGTACAAGAAAATGTCAAAATTTATTCAGATTACCATCAGAAATATGTTTTAACACATATTTTTACAGAAGAAATTGCATCTCTTTATCCAAACAATCTTCACTGTGTTAAGTTCCATCAGGACAAGGTTGCAAGCCATACAACTGCTCTATTTTTTTGAAAAAATGAGAAATGAAACTTTTTGCTTTAAATGTATCCCACCCAAGTCCCCTGGTGTGTCTCCTATGGATTACTGTACATTTGGACTTAAACAATCCTTTATAAGCGACATCCCAAAACATTGGATGGACTCTGGAAGATTGTGAGGGAGGAGTGAAATAAAATCTACTTTGATGTTTTAAGAAAAGGATCTTTATCTTGGAAATTAAGATGTAATATGATAGTTCAAAAAAAAATGATAATTTATAAGAAATGTATGAAACAGTAAATTATTCATATGCAATATTATAGTACATACAAAAAAGGTTGATTTTTTAAGTTGATAATCTGTACGAAATTAGTTCTGGAAAAGACATTTCTGCTTCAATTAACCGATATGTTTTTTAAAACGAGCTTTTTACATACACACACAGAAAGACATCTTTCTCTTTTGAAGTGTATAACAAGCCAACTTTATTTAATTGTTAAGGATGTCTACAATAGGTTTTTTAACATGCTTAGACAAAAAAATTTAGTTAACATTTAACAAGCTGAGAATTCCTGAAAAGTTTTAACATATTATGCAATAAGAAACAAGTTTTACATGATTATACAGTGAAGAACCAGAATATAATGTAATACACACAAATCACATTTGGATGATATCACAATGATAAATCACTAATCTTGAAAGCTGACAACAGGACTAATTCATTAAATTCAAAAAATTGAATCACAAACAGCATTTACACTAGTATACAAACAGCTTTGCATTTACATCTTAGAAAAACAAATATAAATGTTTAAAAAATTCATGTATTAAACATCTTTTTTAGTGCAGGGGAAGTGAAAAGAAAAGGTGTTTTCAATATCTATCTACGAAAGTGGCTAGTTACAACACTGTTTAGTCAAGCGTGACTTTCGCATAAGTACACAACATGCAACTTTCTGCCTTCCATTATAAAAAGGGTTGAAAAGGAATGGTAAAATTTTACTGTTCTTTCTTCTTCTTGCCCAAGGGCATTTTGGCATTAACCCTGTTAAGAAAATAACAAAATGCATATAATTAAAGTTGATACACAATAAAGACTTAAAATCAATTCACTGCAAACAAACATAATATACAATAAAAACTTTAAAACCAATTAACAGCAAACATGCACTTCAGTTTCAAAGAATGTTGTATGTAACAATTATATATATTTATTTATGTTATACTTTTGTTAAAAAAACATTTTTACATATAATCCATTTTGTCTCAATAAATAAATGAAATATAACCTCATAAGATTTTGAAAAATTATGCATATCATAGCTATACAACCACATCTACAAATTCATTATCTTTAGTTTATAGTAGACCTGTTGCAAAAACAAACAGAAAATTGGTCTAAGTTTCCAATTGTCTATCAGATGATATAGGCCATACACAGATATAATGTCACACAGTGATTCAAGCGCACCTCGTATTGCTTAACATACAGATCACAATCATGAATACCTATCTGCATGTACAGTCAAAAATCGTTAATTCGGACACCCATAATCCGGACCTCAAAGCTACAAACTTTCTGCGCATGCGTCGCGTTGAGGCATGTGCATAGGAGTTTACGTGTGCGCGTAAGACCTTTACAGCTGCGAATATACGTGTGCGCACGCGCATAATACATTTACACATGTGCGTTTAATGTATAACGGACAGTAAAAGCTAAGCTAAAATTAAAATTATCTAATTCACTTAATGTTGCAGATTGCGTTGTTTCTTAATCTTCGAATTGGATCCGGCTTATTATTATTTAAAGGATCTACAAAGCGAAAGTATGTTTCAAAATCCGAAATCTGTTTATCAATTTCACGCTGGGGAAGGGGGGGGGCGCCGCGGCGCACAATGAATTGGAAGTTGATCTGTCAGCACTATCCTTATCTTCAGGGCAGATGTTTTTATTTTATTTGGCTTATAATTCCTTACTAAATGTAGTATTTATTTCATCTCGATGTACTCCGTCTTTGATATGATTTAAATCAAGTTCCTCGTCATTATAATTCGCTTCCGATAGTAAAGAAAGTGACACAGAGGTTATTGAAAACGAAAAATTTCGATTGACAAATTAGTCGGTATTCTCGACACAGCAATTATAGGACTCGAACAGCGGAACTTTGTAACTGAACAAGAAATTATGTCTGTTTATAGAATTAAAGAGAATGTATTATCACATAAAAAACGAAGCAACTTAAACAACTTACATTGAAAGAAATGTTTAATAAAGTAAACAAACAAATATTAAGCTTTTTTTTTTTTTTTTTTTGTAAATTTTGATACCCTTTAGATCATAATTGTTCTTTATTTCGTAAATTACGGTTTCATATTTTTAATTTTATAATTTCTGCATGCCATCTTACCAGATTTAAACTGATGATCTATAACCCGGAAAAATCGATAATCCGGAATCGCCGAAGTCCCGACGAGTCCGGATTAACGACTTTTGACTATACAATTCATTTGGCAAAATTAGAAATGATTGGAAATCTTGCACAAGTCTTCAGGCATATTCACAAGTTACCAATTTCATCTTATAAGCTTAAATACATTATATGAGTAACAACTGTACATGATATTTGAATTAGCTTTGTCTCTATTTCTAAAACATTAAATTTCCCTCCATTCCACTTCTAGCATTCTATGTATTCTCCTTACTGTAGCTTTATAGCAATTTTCTAATTCAGAAAGCTCTTTTTTTTCTTCTCAATAATAATGGTCACAAAGACTTTCTCAGCTTAGAGACACTGCAGAAGTGCCAGTACTATACAGTATACTTTATATAGCAATGGTAATGCCTTACTGCAAGAAATTAATTAAATAAACCTAATATTTTCAAATATTAGATGCCATTTTATCACACATGCATTTTGCATTTTATCATGTAAACTTGTCCAATGTTTTCCTTGATTCATGATAATGGCCACTAACGAAAAAGCACCGTTAGACTACATGCAATTTGGAAACATGTAATTCCCTGTGAAATTATTTCTAAAGAAATTAAGTTTATTAACTCCCTCAGGGTAAGTCTCATAATTCTTTTTTTAAAAAAAGAAAGAGTACAAAAATATACCTGCCGAAGATTCCATGACACTTACAAAATGAACAATCCAAGAAAACCAAGTATCATATGATAAATTTGTTTGTCATCTAAACATAGTTAATTGGCAGTAAGCAAATACTGAAGTAGAATCAAAGTTTTTTTTACCTTGTTAAGGAATAATCCAAACTGCGAATACAAGAATCACAATTACAATGTAGAAACATATTTATTATTAACTGCAAAAAAGGAAAAACATTTAAGGTGATGCAAGCACTATCAATTCTCCATCAAGGGAGTATAAAAAGTTACGTAAAAGAGAGTTTCAATAGATTCATATCTATTTTTTTTAGTTAAGGGGATGAAGGCAGATACCTCGTTTCCGTTTCCAGTGGTGATTCTACAAAATTCAGAGCTATTTTTATTCCAAGTTCAATACTGGATTTGGTTACCCCCCTCCCAAAAAAACACTTGTAGCCTTTGTGATACACTAAAAGCAGAGACTGAAATGCTTGCAAGAAAAAAAAAAAAAAAAAAAAAAAAAAAAAAAAAAAAAAAAAAAGCTTGTTAAAGAACAAGTAAAAGCAAAAATGATTTAAGTCTTCAAAAATAACTTGAGTAAAAGCAAATTATGACAGCAAGGCAAATGGGTAAAAAGCATTTCAGCCATCTAAAAAATTTGAAAATTCATCTCTCTATTTTACTGTTTATAATACAAATTTCATTAAATAAATGCTGAAAGTGTACTACAAATTTTTTTGCCCGATTTTGAAACAATATTTTTTTTTATCAATGAAGTTACACAAACTAAAAATTCATTTTTCTCAAAATCAATGGATATAAATGGTCCCCCCTCCAGGGTTCTCAAATACTGTTAAAGAAATTTAACACTCATTTTAAAAGATTGTTCAGTAAATACTTGTGAAAAATGGTTGGCAATGATGGCTGATGACAACCTTGTGAAAACTTGCAAGAAACAGGTTAAATATAGATCAACAGTCAATAACTCGATATCATATACTAATTTGAACCCACATTTTATACTTTACATGACTTTTCTAGTAAAATCAGCTTCTTTTTTCATTATACTGTGGTAGCCCGGAAGCATTTGTTGATTTATGGCCAGCAGCTGTTCAGAGCATTGATGTTTTGAGCAGACGCTTACTCATGGCAATACCTACAGGTGAAATAAGAAGTGCGATGAAAAAGGTCTCACATGGCCTTGTCAAAAAAGAGCTCTTTGGTGGCAAATTAAGCAGTTCAATTCTTTGGAATTTGCGAGTATTGGGTGACTCTGCAGATCGCCATAATACATATTTATCCTTAGAAATCTTACAAAATATTTCAACTTTTAAATAGTGAATTTTGCACAGTTTAATGAAAAGAATTTTTTTTTCTTTTTTGTACAATTATGATATTTCCTATAACCGCAGGACTTAAAAAGATTTCTCCAGCTTTTCATTCATGTAATCCCCAGATTTTTAAATAGCTAATTTTATCTTTTACTGTACATTGCTTAGTAAAAAAGACAGACAACTTAAATAAATGAAGATTTGCTATTATATAAAACCTCTGAATTAATACAGTAAACATTGTCATTAAGTCTGCTTTGCTTTAAAACAGACATCTTATTCAGTTTTCAGTTATTTCATGATTTTCTGACAGTTATAATTACACTAAGACAGGTTCCCAGTTATAACTAAAGGTTTTAACAATCTAGCAGAAAACTGCCAACTCTGATAAAAGTAGTCATATCGTTCAAAAGGATTAATCTATTACCTTGCCATGAATGCACTCACATGATAACATTAAGTTAATTCCATTGCCTTAGGATTACAAGCTTTGAAAACTACTGTGCACCAAAATGAAAACACAAAAATCAAATAATATTTGAAAGACTCCCAAAATGGCTTCAAATGCATTACTGATCTGCATAAAATTTTTTGCTTACTAGTTTTATTTTAACTTACAGGTACCAATTTACTCTATATGTTTAAACATGTGAACTTGATTTATAAAAGCATGCTTAAATGATGAAGGTCTGTCAAAAGTGCAAATGATTAGCTACAAAAAAAAAAAAAAAAAAAAAAAAAAAAAAAAAAAAAAAAAATAAAAAATAAATTTGCTAATGTTTATACCAATTTACAGCTCTTGAAATTTTCATTAACAATTCAGAGATTTTCTGGTTTGCCTTGTTACATTAAACAACAAAGTTTAGACCTTCCTGAAAGCTAGGAATAACACTCTGAAAAAGTACTTACATTTCAATCATTTCTTTTCCTTTTGTGCGAACAAGTTCAGCATAAACATCAATCTGGGCCTGTAATTTATTTATTCATATTTATTAAAACTATTCTTACAAATAATAATTTTACATATTACATTTATTCATTAAAATACATGTATGCATGTATACATATACACATGCATACCATATATACATTTTTGAATTTGATTCCAATAACAGAAGAGTACCAAAATTATTCCCCCTCAGTTCATGTATTTAAGGATTTAACTTGAATGTTTAATTAAGCTACAGCAGACTGCTGAGAGTTAGATGAACATTCAGATCTGAGGATAACTTATGATAAAAAAAAATCTACAGAGGATTTGAAACCTAAAGATCAATCTTCATGAAAGATCAGCATATCATGTAACATAAACAAAGGATCTTACCAAGCTTAAAATGACAGAATGCAATCCCAGTATTAATTTAGAATAGATAATGGTCTGAAAGGATTATGACCCTTTTTAGATTAAGCAAATAACCATCGCTAGCTGAAGGAGAAAATTACAATCATCTTTAACTACAGCAAAAGATGGTTTACAGCCAAAATCTTTGGATTCAAGACACCACTTTTCCCACAGCTGAATTAAGATAACTCTTATAGAATATTTCACAAAGTATATATTGCAGACAACACTACCTATCTTGATATTTCTGATGCTGGAAGAAGATTAAATTCAAATCACAACAGTTCCTGAAAATCTCTGATAAGAGTATTGTTACAATTTAGTATAAGAAAATGAATTATTGAAACTTGATACTAAAGCATTCATATATTAAAGCAGCATTCTTGAAAATTCGGATTACTATACAAAGTCCGTCCTTGGTTTTAATGATATCTTCAATGTAACACATACTTTCATTAGTCCTGTCTGAAATGCATTAAACTGGTGTCAAATTTCCCATTTTAAAACAAATTCTCATCTAATGAAGTCATATGTAGCTCTCAAACAGTGCTAAATAAATAAGACTCTTCTCTAATCTGTTATTTTTAAGCTTTACATAATACACCTTTCAAGAGACAAGAGTGGCAAATAATATAATCACTACTTCATTTTTGGATGAAAAGATGCACCTCAAATTTATCAAATAATTTTTAGAAACATCCTACAACTATAATAAAAACAAATTGCATATTCCTTTAGACTATAAGACAAATTCTTATTTTCTTTAATAAAAAGGTGTGTCTTACAATCTTAAAAAAATTCAACATTAGATCTTTTAAATTAAATTAATGTATATAAAAGGCACAATTTTTTAGCATGATTCTCATTTTCTATGTTTATGTTCTGGATCCCTCTTTTTAATATCAAAAGATTTGTTTACATTGAAATAATCTACGAATGATATTGACAAGCTATTAACACATTGACTGCCAACTACGAGATAACTCGTACTGTATTTACTTGCCATTTTTGTGCAGCTATGATTAAACTCGGAATATATCAGTGCTAATATCGATAGACGGCTTCTGGGAAAAGAACAAAAAATCAATGCTGGCTTGCATGAACAGAAAATTTATTAAAAAATGAATAAAAAATATAATTATAAAATTAATAATATAACATGATTAAATAGATTTGTCTTCTCGGACCAGGATCTGAAAAGTGCCATGGCAGTCAACGTGTTAACATAATGCTACAAGTATGTCTCTACATATGTTAAATAAAAAAACAGCTGCCAAACAGGTAAATAAACAGTTTAGTATTTTAATATATCTCATGCTTAGAATTTAGAAGCATCCAACATTTATCGATAATCTTCATTAGACACTAGAACAATTAAGCACTTAAACTGAATAGCATGTTCAGCAATTAAGCACATAAAGCATGTTTAACTTTACAAAATTCTAAATTTCAAAATAAATAATCTGCCATGCTTCCACTAAAATTTAAGAAATATGCATATGAACAATGCAAATCCATGTAATAACCAGCATAATTATTTGCAATAATCTTAACATTAGTGTTGCACCTTTCAATCTTAGCATTAAAATAAGATTCAATTATAATTACCTTATTAGTTTCATAGACTTTCGGCAAAGTGAACACGGATACAAAAGCTGAAAATAAAAAAAAAAAGGACCATAAACAATCGTATACAGAAGACAAAATTGCACTAGGAAATAAACTCAAACATGAACATCATGCAACTCAAAACTTATTTCTAAATGCTTAATGCACTTTTATTCCTAATTTAAAAGTCTCTAGTTAAAAACAAATATGAAGCCAATCGGTGATCCTTTCGATATCAATTTATTCATTTGTGAAATAAATCCATATCAGTGGTTCTCAACCTTTTTTCAGCCCATATACCCTTTTCATCATTGCTACACAATCATCCTCACCCTCCTTTCCAAAATTAAAAAACTATACATTTACTTAAATTTAGATTACTTTTTTATGTGTTTCATAATTTAAACAAGAAAAAATACAGAAAATGTTGACAGTATTTTTTTATATACGTGAACTAAATACTAGGCAGGTGAATAAAAGCCTGACCCCCCCAGAAGCTATCAAATCCCCCCCTGTGTGAGAACCTCTGGTCTATATAAATAAAATATAATTTTTTATTAATGTGAGAAATACAATATAGATGCAGCTCAGCAAAGCTTGGGGGAATATCCTGTCCAGGGAGAGCTGTATAGTGAAAAGACTGTGATCCATTTGATTTCTTAAAGGACGCGACACCAACCAACCAACCAACCTAATATAATATACAAACACATGCAAGAATTTTGTACTGATGAGAAAATTATACTCATTGATACAAAATTATCCTGACCTTGAAAATACATACCTAAACTCACCGTAATTACTACAATACAGATCAGATAGTTTAGCTATCTTAGTTACACTAGGTGTTCATAAATGATGGATAATGGCTTTATATCATTATCCTAGGCATGTATTTTCAATCATAAAGCTTCTCAAAACAAGGTAAAACTTCTGAAGTAGCTTTTGAACAACTTTTGTAGCAGTATAAGCATTACAACTGCTATGGTATAACATAGTAAGCATCATTAAATGTTGTAATAAAAATAGTAATATTGATAGGTATTCCAAAGGATTAAAAAAGCCAGCAGCTAAATTAAGTTAGACTAATTAAAATATTGAATAAGCAATTGAGAGGAAAATGAAGCATATATACGCTTTAATGAAAAATAATTACATACAAGTCATTTTTAATTTCATATTTATTCAACTTATTATTGCATATTAAAGTAAGAAATAAAAATTACCTATGATAATCAGAGTCAGTCCATTAAACCATGCTCCAACATACGTCATGCACCAAGCCAATACTAGCAGCTATATTCAAAATTTAAAAAATAAAATGCCATCAGTATATGATAAATTTAACCATGTAGACTGGAAATGAAGTAAAGTATCCCATACCTTCAATGTGTCAAAAAGATCTTCCACAAGAACTAAACTTCGTAATTTGCCAGTAACACAATTCACATGATGAATTAACGTTTCAACAGTTTCACTAACTTTGTCCTGTGATAAAGTAATGTCCACTTCCAAATACTCTCTAAAACAGGTGGACAAGAATGTGATTTAAAAAAGAAACAAACAAGCTACATATCGCACAAAATAAATTTTCAGTGGGAAAACAAAAATAAAATTAACATTACAGATGTAAAAATTCTGTAATTTTATTACACGTATTCATTTGCCAAAGATCCTAAATTTGTGCAAGTCCAGTACATTATGGGACACATGTTAATACTATATTTTAAAACATATATCTATATGGATTATTTTCTTTATAATTAATAAATTCCTAACATTTTCAGCATTTATAATAAATTTTAATACTCGTTAAAATATGTTACAACATTTTAATACTGGAGAAGTTAAGAAATAAATTACAAGTATTCCCATGTTAATCTACAGGAAACTAGTATAATGTAATAAATCCTTGTTATACAATATAGTACGCACGGCTACAACAACAAACCCACTAAGCGTATCTTTTTTTTTTTTTTTTTTAATAGAAATGTTTTTGATAAACATTTTCAATTTCTGCCTTGTTCTTGAAATTTAAGTAAATTTTAACTAAAGGATTTTTAGAAAACTGGAAATTTCATAATCTACTAATTCTGCTCATAATAAAAGGACAGAAGGTTGGTTTATGATAGTAGTATTCGAAAAGAAATCGAAAACAGTCATAAAACTTCGTAGAAACTGTTAGTCTCAAAATTTTAAATAACAAAAAATTAAAATTTTTATTTAATTTAAAACATTTCTCAGAAATGCATAACAATTAAAAAAAAAGAAACAGATATGAAATTATTTGAAGCCATTCAACTTCCAAGAAGTTCTTTAAAATAATTTTATGCATAAAAAGTGGAAAATTATAATTTTTTGAGAAAATTAACCCACTAACTGCCCAAACTACAAGGAATGATTTTCCCCCCCTTATACAAATGTATTAAATTAAGTATTTATAACTTTAAATTTACACTGAACATTTAAAGAAAGAGGAAGGGGAAAGCTCTTACCTGTGAAAAAATCTAGTGTTGCATTCGCACGTCAGCAGAATAAGAATATAAAAGTTTACTGAGTAAGCCTGTACTCGTGCGAAATTTTCTTTCAATGCAGTATTGGATTACTTTTTAGCTGTATAACGTTTTTATAAATCTACAAATCAATTTACTTGTAATTAATATAATATTAAAATTTATATTGTATTTCTTTTACAAATAAAGATTATTTTCAATTGAAAGATTCAAGCATTATAAGCTTCACTACAGTCATAATGCAAAGCTACATTAAGTACTTTGCATCTATACACAGTCTGGCTATGGCATTCTTTACAATGAAGTCTTCTGTAATCATCAGACTTTAGGATAAAATAGCTACCATCTCCATGCAATAGCTTTTGAACACTGAATTTACTAGGTCTTCTTGTTGCTAATCTATTTCTAGCTAATTTTACATTCTCAATACGAGTTTGCAAAAGGAATAATGTAATCTCCACCTGAAATCTAAAGAGACATTTTATCTACAGTAGTAGTAAGTTGATATTTTCCATGTATTTGTCAAGGATACATCAACATCAATGTAAATATTGGCCACCACCATTTTCTGCCACAAACTCTTAGTCTGTAACTGGCTACTAAATTGTCGCATAAATCAACTTTTCCCATTTTGGTATTGTATTGTTCAATAAGATGAGGCTGAAATACAAAAACCTTTTCCCTTTGCATTCTTGAATAACAGGAAACACTTTTTGTGAGCTGAATTTTTCCAAATGTTGAACCAACAGTTACAATCGAATTGTCGTTCGATTAGACAAAAATTACTTTTTTTCTCTTTATACTAAAAATCTTAATAACCAGTCTTTCTTACGGACAAATTTTATCGTTTCTAATGGGCACATGTGTAAGCGGTTTTCTTGAATTGTTCTTGTAGCAACAAAACCTTATCTTTTAAATAACACAGAAGATGAAATAATGTAAAAAAATCATCAAAGTAAATAGCATGATTGTGGAAATTTCAACAACACTCAGCAAATTTATCACCATACTTCCACCAAGATCAAATTCTTCATATTCTGGTAATTTTGGAGGTGTTGATTTACCTGAATAAATATCAAAATAGAATATCAGTTTCATTCTGGTCATTATCATCACCTGTTTCTTCATAAAAAAAAATCTTTGAAGGGTTTGTTCTAATGTAAAGTACCTCATACTAGGCATTTTTAAAGCATGGAATGAATATCAACTACAGCATCTAAAGGCATGAGTAAAAAAGAGGAATATCATTTTCCCACTGATGTTATACCAGCACAAACCCTGTTTTCTCTTTTGTCCATAAACAATTACAAACAGCTGATCGCTGGAATGTTCTGGTAAGGGGTAATCTTGGCAAAAATACCTGGTTGAAAATTTTGCTTCAAGTACGAGACTAATTATTATAAACAAAATTATTGTTGAAGACAAATATTTTTTACAGAAATAATCTTCATAATATTGCCTACACAAAAGTCAACGTTACATTAATAACCAGTATAACAAATTTCGAATGCAAGCATGCATGCATTGTGTCGTACAGATGATGAATGTCAGTTTATGAGACATAGTTCCATGTCTGTTGCCCTCAGTCGGTCAATACAGGGCTGGTTAATGTTAGTTGTGGATGATGCTGGATTGTCATCCAACAATGTCCCATATATGCTCGAATGGAGAAAAATCTGGTCATCTAGCAGGCCAAGGCAACTTGTCCACACTCTGTAGAGGATGCTGGGTCAGCAGTATGAGGGCAAGCGCTATCCTGTTGGAAAACACTGCCTTGAATGCTATTCATAAATGGTAGCAGAACAGGTTGAATCAACAGGCTAACATATAAACTCAGTCAGGGTGCGAGGAATAATCAGAAGAGTGCTGCCTCATACGAAATTGCTCCTCAGACCATAACTCCAGTACTGTAGGTACAGTGTGTCAAGGCAGCAGACAGGTTGGTTGCAGGCACTCACCTGGCCTCCTTCTAACCACCACACGGCCATCACTGGCACCAATGCAGAACTGGTTTCCCATACTAACATGACCGAAATCGTGACATATAAACATAACATTCATGCATATTAACAGACAATTCATCTCACAATTTTCTTCAAAATTTCCAAGTTAATAAAAAAATATCAAACGAAAACTTACTTGAAAGGATGTCCTTCATTGGACTTTTGGACAGCTTGTAAAATATTTTTATAAATTCGGAAGGAAATGGTGACAAAAAGCAAAGCCAAAGTCAGATATGCAGCAACGCTTATAAATGAAAAATATTTCAGAGAAAGAAGCAAGACCACAATTGCACCAAAAACTATACCACTTTTCTTTGGATCTCTCCAATATATATATTCTGCAACTGAAAAATATTATATTCAAATACATTTATATCTTATTTACCATTAGCGAACTTCAATAAAGCTATCATGCATGTTTAATTTGAAAGATATACCTAATTCCTGACAAATCTAACTTAAAAGCATACAGAAACGTACAAGAGAACAAATAATACACTTTTTAGAAAGCTATTTGATAACAAAAACATTATTTACTAGCCATAATTTACACATCTGCTAATAAACAAAATAAAATGAATAATTTTTACCACTTAAAAATTACATTTCCTCAATTTAATTTCATTACTTTAGATCTTAATATAAGCAGTCTTTATCATTAAAATATTTCATGTTACAATAATGTATTTTGTAATTTTTAGAATATGATAATTTAGCACCTTTTAATTTCTTTATTCACCTTTATTGAGTCATGAGCTTTTTTTAAGGGGGGGGGGCAAAATTTAAAACATTTTGCTTTCTTAGGTTCTTTAATGATTTAAATATCATTTTAAAGAATGAAAATCTCATAAAAACAAAGACTAAAATTAGCAACTATGCTAATTTAGCTAAAAAATGCTATTTAAATACAAGTCATCATCAGCAATGTGCTAGTCAGAGAGCTAATATTTGTTAGAGTAAGGTGATTACCTAACCATGTTCAAATAATAAACTAAAAATTTAATTTTCTGTAAATAATGTTAATATTCATTACATTTCATCATTCAAAACATTATCTTTTTTTAAATCCTGACCGATTTTAACAACTGATAAGCTATTTCTACTTTATGGTACTCTTATTTATTAAATTAAGAAAATTATAAATCACTGATTTCATATGCAGATACTTTTGTATGGAGAAAATTTTAGCTTGAAAAATATTAAATTAATATTTGAAGAAAATTTTCCATTTACAAATTTTGTGAAAAAATGCATTTTCTAAAAATTTCATACCAAATTTCTTCTGGGTTAATCTTTGGATTATGGTAACTTGGCAATTTTTTGCCGACCAACCCTGCTACAGTTTTTTTTAGTTTTTTTTTTTTTTTTTTTTTTTTTTTTTTTTTTGACTTTTTTTTTTTTTTTTTTTTTTTTTTTTTTTTTTGACAGCTTTTTGTTTTCACAAAGTAAAGGCATTTTTTTTTTTTTTACTCAGCATTTTTTTCCCCAAAAATCTGCTAGCCGAAGTACGCTTATGCTAGAACTTTTATGGAACAAAAGTGCTTAATCATGGCGAAGATTAGGTGCGAAATTGGGAGAAAGTGCAGAATCGCCCACTGCTTGCCACGTTTTTAAGAATTGCACGTATGCGGTATCCATATACACGTCAACCTATTTTCACTTAAAAAAAATCCCAGAATTGCACAAAAATGGTACTGCGCACACTCTTAACTTTATCCATGTACACTGCTAAAGTTCTAGCTAGTAAGCTTTATCGCCTTACCAAAATGTCGCCAAACTACCTGTTACCATATTCGAAAGATTAGCCTCTCACAGTGACAGATAAATCTAAAGTGCAAATTTTTGAAATTTTAAGAAAAACATATCACTATTTTTCTTGAAAAATCGACTGCAGGCCATTAAAATTGCAACACCATGAAGGAAAGATATTTATTGGATGTAAAAAGTATGGTATGAAGACAAAATAATTAAAATTTGTAAGCATTTTGAAGGTTTAGAGAATGCAAAATTAGTGGAAACAGCCCTTACCCCATTAGGTATGGAGTCAAACTGGGCTTGGATGACAGAAATGGACAATTCATTCCACGCTGTTTCAAGTCTATGCCACACTTCATCAACCGTATTAGCTGAAGAGGGGTGGCGGAACAGTCTCTCAGCAACCCATTACCAGATATTTTTACTGGGTGACAGATCTGGAGACCATGCAGGGCAGCAATTGAATACTCTGTGCATCGAGGAAGGTCAGAACACCACGTGCAACATGTGGTCTTGCACTATCTTGTTGGAACATGGCGTTTGGGGGCCTTGAAGACAGGGCACAACCACTGGACGCAAGATATGTCAGGAATGTATCCATCTCCGTTCAAATTACTGTTGATCCGAACTAGAGATGTGTGTGTCATGTACCCAGTGGCTGCCAAAACCATCACACCAGGTACACGGCCCCTATGCCAATATCAAATTCAAGCAGGTTATGTGCTGTCTCCTCGGACACTACAGACACATATATGTATGGACATCGGAATACTGCACTTAGAATCAGGATTCGTTTGAAAAGGTGACATTGTGCCACTCCTGTATCCAGCTTTGTCGTTTGGCCCACCCGAGTTACGGTCTCTCTATGCTGCATTGTCAAGGGAAGCCAAAGTAATGGTCACCCTGCTAACAGTCCATGCTGCTACAAACTTTGATGCACCTTACGCGCTAATACTGGGCATGCTGCAAACATGTCCACTTTCTGACTAATGGTCTGTGATGTGATCGTATGGTTTTGCAGGGCTGACCTCTCTGGCATTAGCCATACAAGGGTATTGAGATTCTGCAAGCCGTTCAGTATGAGCTTCAGCAATTCATTGATTCTATATTCGCATGATAGTGGTTGGATGTCAACCAGTGCAACTGCAGATACCACTGAACGATAATTTATACTTTCGGTAGGCAACGATCCTACCTCTATTGAATTTCGAAACTTGCTGGTAAGCATTTCCTTTTCTTATTCGAGGCATAACACGACATTCTGAGCAAACTCAAACCTTACATAGCACTTTCTGAATGAGAAATCCACTACACAATTTTTCTTTTACACAGATGCTTCAGATGTTGCTTCTATCTCCTGTGTTGTCTAAATGCGCCAAAATACTAATCATTTGCAACTTCTTACTTTCATGTGATTTTGACATTCATCAGATCATTCCCTCCTGATGTTGCAATTTTTAACTGCCAGCAGTATATAACAAAATGAACTCGTATGAAAACAACATTCAATTAAATTTATAACTGTTAAATATATGGTTGCCAGAGTGGCACGTTCTGAAGATTTGCATGATTCCTACTAAGATGGTATCAGATACATACAGTTACAGCACCAATTACAACATTCCAATAATTGATTTTATGAAATTATCTGGAAAAAATATTTAGAAAAAAAAATTCATATGCATGAATATATTCAGACTATGCAAGTTAGATATACACTAAAACAATAACAGATGCTCAATTTAGAAAACAGCCCCAAACTGCTCAAAATAGCTTTTCCGACAATATGCACCATAAAGAAGTACATTCATACATATATAAAATAATTATTCCAACTTTAACAGTGTAATCAGGTTATGTTTTTCCAACTATGATAGCGTTCTTTTTCACTGAATTTTAATACTTTATTACATACAGTCAAAAGTCGTTATCCGGACTCGTCGGGACTTCGGCGATTCCAGATTACAGATCATCAGTTTAAATCTGATAAGATGGCATGCAGAAATTATAAAATTAATAATATGAAACTGTAATTTATGAAATAAAGAACAATTATGATCTAAAGGGTATCAAAATTTACAAAAAAAAAAAGCTTAATATTTATTTGTTTACTTTATTAAACATTTCTTTCAATGTAAGTTGTTTAAGTTGCTTTGTTTTTTATGTGATAATACATTCTCTTTAATTCTATAAACAGACATAATTTCTTGTTCAGTTACAAAGTTCCGCTGTTGAAGTCCTATAATTGCTGTGTCGAGAATACCGACTAATTTGTCAATCGAAATTTTTTCGTTTTCAATAACCTCTGTCACTTTCTTCGCTATCGGAAGCGAATTATAATGATGAGGAAATTGATTTAAATCATATCAAAGACGGAGTACATTGAGATGAAATAAATACTACATTTAGTAAGGAATTATAAGCCAAATAAAATAAAAACATCTGCCCTGAAGATAAGGATAGTGCTGACAGATCAACTTCCAATTCATTGGGTGCCCCAGCGTTAAAGATAAACAAAGTTTAGATAAACAAACGTTAAAGTTTAGATAAACAAAGGATATGCCTTTATCCATTTTTTGCAGCAATTCCACTTTTTGTTTAATGGACTTTGAAACATATTTTCGCTTTGTAGATCCTTTACATATTAGTAAATATATATGGGAAATTCTATTTGACATAATCGAAAGTTCAAGCTTATTTTTATAAAATTGCTCTAACAGTCTGCAAAAAATAATAAGATCGATCCAATTAGAAGATTAAAGAACAACGCAATCTGCAACATTAACTGAATTAGATAATTTTAGCTTAGCTTATACCGTCTGTTATACATTTAACGCGCATTCATAAACGTATTTTGCCCATGCGCAAACGCATATTCACAGCCATAAAGGTCTTACGTGCATACGTCAATGCGACGCATGCGCAGAAAGTTTGTAGCTTTGAGGTACGGATTATAGATGTCTGAATTAACGACTTTTGACTGTATTACATTACTGTACTGCATTAATTTCTGCATCATGATCTTACATGGAAAGGACTTCCTTTGTGAAAACTTAAAAATTTTCAGTTTTTATTCACCTTTGTATGCTAAATATCACAAAATTAGAAGAGATGATGATTACAAATATATAACAATATAAGCATAACAGATTATGTTATAAATATATATAATATTAACCACATTTTAGTGAACAAGAATATACTTTCTAGCAGGATTCATTAACTTGACAGGGAATTTCTTCTAACCCACTTTTTAATTTGTGTCAACAACAGAATGCAAACTTCGTAAAAAATTTAAACAGCTATTTGTCATCTCAAAAAGTTTTTGAGCAAATTTTACCTACCATTTCTTAATCTAAAAATCTAAGAATAAAAAAAAAAAAAAGAAAAAGATTATGAAATTAGAAGTTTACAAGCATATTTCAGAAGAAAATGGATTATTAATTTAATGGCATAGCGAGGAGGGGCCAAGGGGGTGTATGATGCCCCGGGCGCCACTGGCAGAGGGGTGCCAAATGGTCACCAAATAAGATTTTCATCGTATCACTGTGTTTTTTCAGGGAAGGGGAACGCCAAAAAGATATTTTGCCCCGGGCGCCAGTTACGTTCGCTACTCCACTGTATTAATTAAAATAAGATATGAAGTTTCATGACAGGAAAAAAACAAAAAAGCATACGTACCAACTGGATGCAATTTTTCTGGATTAAACCATGCCCCTACAAAAAAATATCCACCACTTAACATTGACAGTTTTAGGAGATTGAATTGGTTTAACTTGAAATATTAATAAATTATACAAAAAATTCGAAATTTTCAATGATACAAGAAATGGCACATATAAAAAGATATAAAAGAGAACCATACAATTTTTATATAACTTGATACAATTAGTTATGGCTACGAGTTTAAGACTCTCCATACGAAAAGAAGCCTCAATGGAAATTTTTACAAAACTGATTTGATAATAAGTTACACACTGAAGAATCGCAAATATAAACATGTAACAGCTTTACTAATCCCTTCCTCCGCTGGGAACTGAAATTAAGAAACTGCTTTTCTTTGCGGCTTTAGCCACGATGATGAGGATATACATTCTTTTTTTAAATAATTTTAAACGCTGATAACAACAGGTAATTAGTTTTAAGCTTTTTAAAAAATCTTTACAAGCTGTCGAAACCTCCAAAATTTCCTCAACATTTTAAAATATATGTAGTCTGCTAACATATCGTAAAAAGAGAAAAAATGGGGGAAGAAGAAGAAACAAAGCAAATTCATTTTATTTTATATGCAAGTACAGTAATCTTTATTCATATACACTCTTTACTTTAAAAAAAGGAATTTCGCAGAAAAACCACGATAATCATAAACTGCAAAGAGTACTTTTCACAAAAGATAATGTTTTAGGATTTTAATACGTGTCTATGAAGTCAACAAAAATATATTAACAAATTCAGATACTGCACCAACAAAGGTGAAAGTCGTTTTTTATTATATATATCAAGAAACAACTTATAAATAATACTAATGTCATATTTATATAACTAAATACATTACAATTAAATTTTATTAGTAAAATATGATTTAATACCTGGAGAAAATGGGCATTCGCTTTCTGAAGTTTTACTAGCATTCCCTACAGTTTCAGATTCCATGGCGACCTCAGTTTTCACGGCAGGTTGCGCAGCTGGCTCATACGCACGAATCCCCGACTGGTAATTATCAGTATCTGCTTTGGGTTTGGTACCTATTTTAAGATCTTCAATTTTTGGCAATGTCTCCACAACCTCTGATTCGTGCACTTTATCAAATGAAACAGGCGTATTCTCTCGATCTTTAGTAGAACTTATTAAGAGCTCGGAGTCGTCACCGTGTTGTTCGTCTACGTCGATCAATAACCGGTCGCCGCTGCTGCGTTGTAGCTCTGAAACGGAATCGCGGTACGAATCTTCCACTTTAGTATCGGCACTACTACCTATCAATGATGAGCTCTTATCAACATTTATAAAATCAGGTAAATTAGAGGTAGTCTGAGTTGGGGAAATACCCTTACTTGATTCTGTTATATCTTCATCATTACTAGTAACAAGAGGGCGTGTCGTTGAAACTAATCCAGATTGGAAGTTACCAATCGTATCATCGATAGGATTTTTAATCTGATCTGTATCTAATTCATTAATATTCTTAGATGATTCTAAGGTTTCAAATCCTTCCATATCCAACAAAGGCTTTTCGTTTCCAAAATTATATTGGGATGTTAAAGGCTCTTCTTCTGTACTCATAAATGCTGATGTTTTTATTTCTTCCATTCTGATAAAAATGTCAGCTGATTAAATAATATACAGACTCGTTACTGTATACAGTGCGTCAAGACGGTGACCTGCAATACCGTATTAGTCATCCAGTTGCATTAAACACGTTTCTGTCACGGTTTGAAGAACATGCATCGTATGACGTCAGGTCGCCGAGCTTGATCAATCTTTCCAGCGCCGATGCTACAGACGTTTACTGACCTATGTGGGAAAAATAATCCTTGTTCATCTTCTTCTATCGTGTTCGTTAATTTTTCATAATTTAATAATTGTTTTGTATGCGCATAGATGTAACTTTAATAGGAAAAATACGTTCTTTCAAATGCAAATGAATTTTCATTTAACTTATTCAAAATTTAATATTTTTTCTTTATACATATGTAAATAAACAGATAAAATAAAATGACAAAGAAGTTGTAAAATAGAAAATTAGGCAATTATGATTGAGAGCAGGGGTATTTATTAAAAAATACAGTATGTACCAAAATTAATTAAATAAAAATTAATATTTCAGTGAATTTTTAAGTTATCTTAATGCAGTTCACAAAAAATGAATGGAATTATGGGCTAGAAATATTTTATATGTTTATTTTTAACTATGATTATTTCCAACAAATGACGCTACACTGGCATTACGTAGTATTTTAAAAAAGGAATTTTAAAGACAATAAAAGTTATACTGAACTTTGCCTAGTGATGCACATGCACCTGTAAATATTGTAATAATAACTGTTCTTCATTTACTATGTCTTTATGTATTTGAAAATTTTGTATCTTAAATTAATGAATGCATTAACTTCTACAAAGAGGAAAAAAATCACAGTTCCAGGCCACATGCCCTACAAGATCCAATGGATAAGATCTTTTGAATTTCCTGACTAGCCAATCTCCAAACTTCCTCCAGACGTACAGAGGATATAGCCCAGGTCAACTGGAAGACTTTGAATTGACATATTTGAGTGCATTTCCCTAGCAATAATATGGGTGAGATAAAGGATGGGGAATCAATAGCTCGTTTTGATTCTAAAAAGTCTCTCTTCATCTTTAAATATGTTGCAGATAGGTACTATTAGATACAGGGAGATATTTAGATTGGATACTTTTAATTAGAACGTTTTCTGCATGTTCTAACCCCGTTGATGAAAGTTCTCCTAGATTTCTACCTTTAGGCTCGCTGCGCGCATTATCTGCAAAACATAACATCCAGCTTAGGAGACCACCAATGGATTGATATTTAGGAAAAATCATTGCATGAAATGGTATACTTCCTTCACAAAAATTAAAAATGCTCAGTAAAACTTTTCTTCATCTATTTCTATTTGTCGATGACTGTTTGTTGCGCCCGTATTTACTACCGTCCAATTTGGAAGGTGCCACGTACCTGACATTTCTTCAGACTGTATTACCAGATCTTCTGAACAAGGTTCCTGATGGTATTATCCAGCGAATATGGTTCCAACACGATGGCGCTCCTGCACATTTCACAAATGCTGTGTGTGCTTACCTAAGCAGAAAGTTTGGTGGTCAATGGATTGGTCGGGGTGGACCGGTTTCTTGACCACCATTTTCACCGGATTTATGTCCAATCGATTTCTTTTATGGGGTGATATGAAAAAGATGGTGTACGAGACCCTTGTTGATAGTGCTATGGACCTTGTAGCACGCATATCGGGTTGCTGCAGCAATCATCCGAGAAATTCCCGGCATATTCCAGAAAGTCCGGTTGTCCATGCAACGCCGTTGTGAGTCATGCCTTCTAGCACATGGTCGACAGTTCGAGCACCTGTTGCTTGTAAAACCGATGCAAAGAAATGTTTACATGTGAGATGACAAATGTTTTTTTTCCTTACCACTTCCTTCTTATGTGTTCTTTTCATCATTGAGTATGTGTGTGTGATTATGGCAAAGCCTCTAGGGCTATCTGCCTAAGGCGAGGAATGCCTTCGTGCAGGACTTTCTAAGGTAAACTGGCTCGTATGCACGTTACAGATGGGTAAAACCACGAAAACGCCCATGCAGCCAGCCCGTTCGCGGGATTCGAACCTCGGACCGAACTACCCTTTCCATTATTAAACTGGGTTTATTTTGCCCTACTACATGGCATATGCGCCCATGCATTCCTACGTGAAATCTCGTTCTTTTTCTATTTCATACCTCTCTACTAAATATTGATGATGAATTCTGAATCACCCTGTATAAATATGTGAGGATCTAGATATCCTTCACTGCGCGCGTGCACGATTTCTTATGTCGTGCTTAGAGTCAGTTCTTTGTTACTCACTAAAAAGGTTTCATATTTGAATGGTAGCAATACCTTATACCTTCCTTCAGGAAGTCAAATTATTTTAAAACTGATATATTGCATCAGAAAACTTTACTTGTCTAATGTCTTACTAGGACTTTCAACTTTCATATGGGTCCCTGATAGCAATAACATCAAGATCCAATAGCTCACGAATGCTGTAATTTGCAGAATGCAAAGATAAAACACAAGATCCAATATTAAGAAAATTCTCATTCTCATATAGCACACACTGTTCACAATTTCTGAATTTATCAGGCAGGTTTTCTTTCCAAAATTAAAATGTAACCAAATTTAGTTTCGAATGGAATCAGTTCAGTTCTCAGTATCATTGATACAATAGTTAATATATACCATGCAACATCAGCTCCTAGGAGCATACCTTCTCTTTAATACTTGAATCAGGTACTACTAATAAATTTCTTCCTTTTACTTCTAAAATTGTTGCAGTAGCAATAACTCTTGGAATGAATTCACAAATTGACTTATCCTAGTATACGGTACACCCGGTATTTATGATGAATAGTAAATGGCTCATTTTGCTGTTGGCAACAATTTTAAAAATCGCGCCAAGGCCGTACCGTATACTAGAATTTTACTCACAAATTTTTCCTTCTGATAATACAGAAATATTAAACGAAAAAGTGTTCTCTATATGACTGATTTTGATTTTATGATCATCGTGTATACGTGGCTTTAGACTCATTCCCTGCAAAAAGACAAAGAACGAGTTTCTGTTTATGTTTGGACTTCAAATTAATCTTACTCTATTGCTCAAATAGATACGTTGAGACCCTGTATCTATAATAACCCTAACCGTTCTTTCATAGTTTCGATTTCGTATTTTCAAAGCTACAATCGTTAGTAAAGCATCTTCAACATTACAGTTAGTGTACAAAGTCTTAATAACTTCTGTTTTGATTCTTTACTATTTAAATCTCTGTCGTGGACACATATGAATTTAATGATTTCTATTACACTGAATACACTTATTTTTAGATTAATAATTTCTAGATATGTGACCTGTTCGTAAACAACAAAACGAGGTTCCGTTTAAAAAAAAAATGTACTAGACTCAACTTTCTAGTCATAAAATATTCCTGACTTAAATGACCTTTATCACAAAATAAACAATTAAAATTTCGCCTACCTGAGTTTCCTTGATTTGCCATACTCACCGTCATACACATTCCTTGATTCGTCATGGTAGACGGTATTTCAGTATACTTTTCTGTTAAAGGCTCTTTTTCGTAGCATTTCATTTAGCTCCAAAACACTACGGGAGAATAAAACCATCTCTTCTTCTTGTACTTCCTGTTTTAGAAAACTCATTAAACTCTTCAAAGGTTTAATGGTTTCTACCTTTGGTAGACGGGTGCACGGGTGTTTGGAGATTTTTTTTTCTTTTTTTCCCAATTGTTGGCGCGGTTTTTACATTCGCCACCTGAAATGAAACAATTCGCCACCTGCCATCTTGGAAAACGGCATTAAGCATAGCAAAGTATTCTAAATTTTAAAAAAATTCAAAATCGTTGAAAATTATGTATTAATTTTTAGTTGAAAACGTCGTTTTTCAAGATGGCATGCGATTGTAAATAAATACATTTACTAGAAATGTAAAATACTAAAGTAAAGTTAAAGGATTACTTTTATAACAAAGAATAAAAACACCGCTGTAAAACATGGCGCCAATGTTTAATAAGATTAAAATATTACTTGAACTGAAGCACTTCAAAATAAAGTAATTTTATAGAATATAGTAATTTAAGTGTAAAACATCTGTGTGGCAATAAAAAATAGCTCAGTCATTGTTGAAAATAATGTATTAATTTTTTTATAACAAATGAAATATATTTACAAAAATCAGAATCATAATTTAGATGTCAGTGAAAAAAATGCAAGTACGGGAATAAAAAAAAATTAAAAAACAAAATTATATACATAACCAAAACAATTTATAGCCCAATTAATGGGTCATGAAGATTAAAAAAAAGTAAAAATTTGAGAATAATAATAAAAAAAATATTTCCAATAATAGGTACTGTTATTAAGATTCCGAATATCGGGGTGAAGGTAATAAATGAACCTTTAATTTGGAAAGCCAGGCTGGCCAAAAAAAGATCTCAAAGGAGAATTATATAGATTCCGATATTAATAATTCATGATAATTTTCAACAGCGACATTCATTGGTAAAATTGAAGAAGCCATTGCTATACAAATATAGAGTAAAATTCAGACTAGAACAAACTCTAAAACTGTGTGGAGGGATAACGAATAAAATTTCTAAAATAGTGCGGTAACGCACACATATCCTGTAACCAATAAGCTAGCCAATAATCATAAATAATAAAATCAGTTTTTCAAATAAAAATGCAAAATTAAATCATATTTTAATATTTAAGTAACAGCCATAAATAATATTTAAAATACAAGATTTATACATATTAAAGCGCAAAATTTATACATATTAAAAGCATTATTTAAAAAACAAAATGACGTCATTAATTACATCATCCACAGCATAATTTTTTTAAAAATATCGTATGTATGTAACAAAACATTTCAAATAAAAATACAAAATTAAATCGATTTTTTAGCCATAAATAATATTTAAAAAGCAGAATTTATTAAAATGCATTGTTTAAAAAATTAAATGACTTCAAATGCTTCAGCGCTTCAGCGTTTACTATAAATGAGGGGTGGCCAACCTGCGACTCTTTGAAGGATTATTTGTGGCACGTTTATCGAGAGCCCTTTTCATTTCCCTTTTCATTTTTATATTAAAAAAAAATTATTATCGTTCCACATGTGTTTCAAAATGGCTTTTAAATTACTGAGAACAAATATGAAAGACTAAGTGCAACGTTGTA